ATGATTTTCGTTCATTTTTATCTACTAGTAGTACATACTTTTACGATTCTATAGTGTATTGAAGAAATAAGTATTTTGCATCATACGTTTCAGAACACGCCTCCACTGAAATGTGTCAAACCGTTTAATGGTCATCGAACAACGGACAAAGTGTCTCATCTTTTCTATAGTTTTAAAACTAAAACCTATCTACGCCAATTCACGTCTAATCCATAATTAGATTCAATAACAATATATCATTAACAATGTTTAATCATATTTTCATGAAAAGTTATCTTACAATAAATGTTTGAATTTGAATCACTCACATGTTTAGTTTTTTTATCAAACTGCAAGCAAGGATATAAGCATAAGCGTAAATAGGGAATTTCAATTGGAGAGGAGGCTTCGGGAATACCATTTTTAACCAAAATTATAAGTTGAAGCTTTGTCTCCATACCTTTAAATTATACAAAGTAATTATTAAATTATTATTATTATTAGTTATAATCACTAACAACTGTAATATTGCAAGATTAAAGTTTAATTAAATAAATAAAAATCACAATCATATAATACAATAACATATTATGATATAAAACGATAATAAATCCAGGGGACTGTATTCACATTGGGGGCTTAGTCTTACCAAGACTCAACCTATTCACGCCTATGAAGATAAGTAAATTCCACCAAGCAAATTGTTTTATATGCACAAAAACCATAATACTAGACTAAAACGCTTAACCTAATCCATATTTAAATACTTGAAACGGTAAACCATAAACGTCGATATAACTTTTATGTAAACATATATGCATGTCTATATTTTGAACTAGTTGGGAAAAACCACATAGTTTAAACTATGCACATACTTAACCACAAGTTACACCCTAAATAATCAACCAAAAACAGTTTTTAACTAAACTTATGATTCTTATTTTGGAGATGTTTAAAAAAAATAATTATAAAATGTCTTCATATAAGTAAAAATATCAGCAAATTGATTGATTTAAATTATTATTGATTAATATTATTAATTAAATTATTGATTTAAATATTAGTTGATTTAAATAAACTGCTACTTAAATTTCAAAATGTAATAAGAGTATTGTTTCAAAAAAAAGTATAAGTATATAATTGTACAATTTATCAGCTTCATTCCAACTTTGAGTACTCAAGGATTTAATTTCCATCAATGTATTTAACTATACATTAAACATTATACATTTTAAAATATTAACTGATACTGATCATTTTCAACATTTATAAATATTTTCCATCATAGGCTAGTAATTAGTTAAATCATCAAGTCTTTTTTAGTGATGAATATTTTTTAAGTACAAAAATTGTTTCAAAATTAATTAATATTACTCAAAGTATTTTTTTCATTAATATATATGAAAGTTAACTAAAATATTTTTATATTTTATATAAATTATTTTCTTTGTATTGTTCTCATGAATATTGTTAAAATCTTACATATAATGCAGAAAATTAAAAATTTCAAAATTAAATAGTTGTTGAGGGTTTTTATTTTAAGTATAAACTCTTTTTATTTTTTCATAGTTTATACAAAATATTATAAGTGGGACTTTTGAATACTGAATTTAAGAACTAAACCCTAAATCTAATGTACTCAATAAAAAAAAATTTCAGTTGATTGGTATAGTAACTATACTATAGTTTATAAATTATTTCATCTACTATAATTCTTATGAAGAAAAATAATAAATAAATACATAATAAATACTTCCATGACTAATGGAAAAATAGATAAATTCGAAAAAAGCATTTTTGGCATATCAATTATTTTCATGGGTTTTTAGAAAAAAAAAATAATAATTATTCAACACAAAAATAATACATACGCTTTCTTCACCATTATTCTTTAAAACCTTGAATGCAATAATAGCCCTTTATAATATAATGTTCTAACTGCTAAATAAAGTGGCTTATTTTCCATTAATCATGTATTATATTCAATGTTATAAATGTATATTAATGGTGTTATAAGAATAATTAAATCCATTCATAATTTTTATTATTATTTATATATATATTATTTTTTTTATTTATTTTTCAAACGTTTATGATTTCAAACAGTTTTCATGTATATAATTATAAAATTAATGATATTTACAAGTAAATATTAAACAATAATGCAATATCTTTAAACCTATATTTGTAATATATATGAATAATAAATTATCGCTTGTTACTAGCAGAACCAAAACCAATGTTGAAATATAATCAAAGTACTCTATTTATTAGTATTAGCATGATTCGATTTTACCCAAATTCAATTTCACTCAAATACACGAGGTTCCTATAGAATAAAGACAAATTCAATTACATTACAGGAAGCATTTTTCTCCGAACGTGGTCTGTTTAAAATCTCCCATCCCCGTAACATTACTTCTCAATTCTCAAAATCTATTATTCCCTTCACTTTAAACTTGTTAATAATTTCTTTGTTGATTATTATTTTTACAAAAACACCACTCGTTTATTTGACGATAATTAATAAGTTTATCGAGTTTTAACAAAACCGAGACTCGCCTAACAAAAGCGGATCGAGCGGAGAAGTGTACAATTTAAGAAAGAAAAAAAGGAAAAGAAACACTGCATCGTATTCTTAACGAATACAAAAACTGAAAGACTTTTCGGGAAGTTTTCATCTCGGTTTGAGTTCTAAATATTCGTGGGTGATTACGCACTTAAGAAGCTCGTAGTACTAAAATAACAAAATACTTACTTTTTACGAGCGAAATGAACCAGACGCGCAATTTATTATTTTATTATCAGTGGCCACTTTTTTTCTTTTTTATGAGGGAATCTAAGTGTATACAATACATTGCCCTATACTCTGTATTTTAAGTATAAGACTAACTCTATTTTTATATGGCACATAATAATTTTCGAAAAGGTATACAACAAATAATAGACTCAACATTTTCAGATACATATTTATTACGATTATTTTGATAAAGACATAAATCCAAAAGCTGCATAATTTGTTTTGGTTTTTTTATATTTACTACGCCATGTGTTATTGTAATATTTATGGTGCAATAAAAACTGCGAGACATCTGAATTCATGGTTTCAGTTCAATCTAGGAAACATGGTATATTTTTTGTTGGGGGATAAATACATATATAAAGTATAACTTCATAAGCCCATCCCACCAGTCCAAACAGGAAAACATAAATTTAATACACTGATAACTTAACTTTTATTTTTTTAATCAATAAAATTAAAATAAATCTATAATAATTTCTTTCTAATTTGGAAACATCTATAGTTATAAAAAGTGATGGAATAAGTAAGTATATTTTTGAGTAAGACGAACACAATACACCGAAAGTTGTTAAAAAATATATGAAAAAATATTTCTATCATTTTATAAAATATAAATCAGCTGCATATTGGGTTCAACGAATAATACGGAAACAATAGCTTGGCGAAAAAAAATTATTCGTGTGCAAACTCTATGCAAATCAGTGTAAAGATTTCTTCTATTTACCAGTGAAAATAATCTCCTAAATATCTGCTCGTATATTCCCTTCACCGTCATTAATCGAACGCTAATAAAACATCATGTGATGTTATTCTATGTATATAAAATTCATTGGCAATAAATTTAACCGTATTTCAGTAGGGTTTTAAAAACGTGAACACTTACGTGCTGTGTTGAAGGAAATATTCTCTGAACATGAATCCGTTCGCTGCACAACATGATATGATATGATATGATAAGCCAAATTATATACAATTATATAGGACATGTGATAATAATATGTTCTACGTTTAACTGTGTATTCGAGGAAAATATATTATGTTGTTTTAAGAATAAAGTTAATACTTCTTATTTATTATAGATGCTTAATATATATAGATGGGTTAATGTTACGAAACACAGAAATATTATGATTTTATCGAAATAATTAAATACACACTTGGTAAATAAAATGTAAGACAATTTCCAAGTCTTACCATTAATATCAGGAAAAATAAAGCGTTAAAAATACCTCTTCCGGGTCCAATTTCCGATGTAATGAAATACTGTTTACGTGAAACTATTTCGATGCGATAATATGACCCGCACAAATGTTTACAATTGTGTCCCAATTCTTCAAATATCCACGTAAAAATATCAATTTCCGGCATTAGGTGCGCCGTGGGGTCGATTAAACGTAATTATTTTCCGTAAGTATATTATATATTATCAAACATTGAGAGGACAATGAGATTGATCGTGAAAAGAAAAAGAAAAGAAAACGTCACCGTAAAATCAATACATTCCTCGCTGCACTCTGGATCCAAAACGTTTGATGTGATTAGAACCCTAATGACATTTCTTCTGCGTTTCGTTCTAACACCGTATCGTAATAAGTCTTCCCACCCATCGGTCTTCACCCGCAGACACGATCACACGGACCGAAAACCGTCTACGACAAGACGAGATCGGTGTGGAGAGCGAATAGATTTTCCGTCTTGCAAGCGTGTACGACTTATCCGGTATGAAATGGGTGTTTACGATGCGTCGTTACCAGACCAGCCCGTTACGCTCGCGCATCGCTACGCGGTGGCGTATCGTAGTTTATTCCTGGGTAGATGGGGAAAAAATCCGTATTATCCGAAAACCCGAAAAATCTGGATTTCAGATTTTTGGATTTCGAGTTTTGAAAATCCGGATTTTTCACATCACTAGTGCACATCCATGGATCGGTCCAGCGATGAAACGTTTCTATTTTGAAAGTTGTGACCGAATTGAAGAATATTTTCTTGCGTTGTACATCCGAGGGGGCGGAAAGATATCCGTGTGTGAGTGGGGAAGGGTGTGATCGTCGACAAATAACGATACAACCTGGGGAGGGGGGGGGGCAAAAACACGATCGATGATGGGGTTAAGGGGTGGAAACGTGGATCGCTGGTTCGCAGCGCGATGAACACTGCGCTCGCCATCCTGTTGTACGCGGAATAATCGAAACGACCGTTTGTTGTTTGTATGTTTCAGCTGAGCAAGGACTTGGGCTACCGGATATACTCGGCGCTCGGATCGTTCTACATACCGTCGTGCATCATGGTGTTCGTGTACATCCGGATATACTTCGCGGCCAAGGCGCGGGCGCGGCGGGGCATCCGGAAACCACCGTCCAAACCCAAGAACCAGAAAGGTGTGGCGGTCAAGGCATCCAAAGGCCTGCGCAGCCCGTCGTCCGCCGTGTCGCAGACGACCAGCTTCATCACACGGCCACCGCCGTTGACGACCGCCGGTGGCCATGCACCATGCGGCGGGTCCCGTTCGCCACCGGCCACGCCGGTGAGCACCACGTTGCCGGTGATCGCGTGCGACTACGCGAGCGACGCGAGCACCAGCGATGTGAGTAAGGACGGTGACAAGGACACGCTCAAAGTGTTCACCACGCAGGGCAGCCGCCGGCTGACGGTCAACGGGGACCTGGGACCGGGCGGCCGGTGTCGGGCATCTAGCGTGGCCGTAGACGCGGACATGGTCAGCGAGCTAGAGCCCTCGTCATCGGACTCGGGCAACGTGCAGAAGTGCGGCGTGGTGAAGCCGGTCAAGGCGCGGTTGTGCAAACCGATATTCGGCAACCGGAAGTCGGCCAAGGCGGCCGCGTCGGCCAAAGCCAAGCGCGACATACTGGATACGGGCAAGGTGTCCATGATGAGCCGCGGCGGTGGTGACTTTGGTGACGCACACCCAGCGGTCACATCACCGTCGGGCGTGAGCGGGGCTGGCATTGCGGCCGCGGCGTGCCAGCCGCGTCCCAAGCCGCGGGACCCCGAACGGGAGAAGCGGCGAATCGCGCGCAAAAAGGAAAAACGGGCCACGCTCATCCTGGGCCTGATCATGGGCTCGTTCATTGCATGCTGGCTGCCGTTCTTCTTCATGTACATACTCACGCCACTGTGCTCCGTGTGCTACATACCACCGCAGGCGTTCACCATAGCCTTCTGGTTGGGCTATATGAACTCGGCCATCAACCCGGTCATCTACACGATATTCAACAAGGACTTCCGGCGCAGCTTCCGGCGTGTGCTGTTCAAGTAGTGACCATCATCATCATTATCATCATTGTCCTTATTCGCATCAACATCCGTCGCCGAATCGCATCTTCCCGACATCGCAGCGCGATCAAAATCATTTTTTCGTTCTATTGATCTTCCTATGTTTTCTTTTTAGATTTGTCTTCTTTGACATATAAAATTACTATAACTATTATAAAAAAATGCTACTACTTGTTATTCGTCATCATTTACTTATAGCAATAATCGTCATCGGCATTTTATGTAACTATTGTTATTATCATCATCTTAAACGTCATCATCATAGTAACTATAATATTATTGATGTTGTTATTATTATTATTTATCATCGTGCGCTTACCTGCAGGAGCGAAAAACTCTCATCGTAAGCGTTCAGTTAATTTATCATTTCACCCCCTGGGTTAGAGACATACTTATATACCCAACGAATTTCGAATATAAAAATAAGTGCAAATTAGTAAACTTTTCTGAAATTTAACCATCGGAGTTCCAAAAAAAATATTAAAAACTAAATTTTTAACATATTCGCTACACTTGACATTTCAACAACTCACCGCCGCAGGCAAATTGATCAACCAATCCTTACACACGTACGCGCAAACACACACACACACACACGGATTTGTAGTTATACGTGTAAAACGTAGATGGTAATCAACATCGTATAAAGTTACTAACATATTACGCAAATTCTTTTCCTTTTTAAAATTTAAAATCTGGATTACGCTTGTGAAAATCTATTTAAAACAGTTTACTAACAAGATTCTCAACGAAAATAATATTCAGATGGTAATTTTGCATATAATATGTAACATAGATATTATATTATATCTGATTTCAGGGATCAACAATTTTACCATGAAAGTGATTTTTCAATTATTATTATATAGTTGTTAGATCCAATTGAAATTTTTAAATACATTCACCAAAATTATTTAAAAGTTACGATCGAAATTTGGTAAATCTTATGTTTAATTCACTGAAACTAATTATTTATTTTAAAATAAATCATACATCAAAGAAAACAATGTTTCATATTATTATTTCTTAATTATAAAAAACAAACGTTAAATTTATAATTCGTTTTCAAAAGAACATAATAATTATTAAAACTTCTAACGTTATATTTGTGGTATAAATTATAAAATATATCAATTAAATATTACAAATGAGTAAAAATTATAAAGTTAATATTATTTAAAGTTTGATCGTCCCATCTCCAAATCTATTATTTCATTAAATAATTAAATAACTAATACATGATATATTAAACAATATGTTTATACCAACTAATATCATAGTATTTCAACGAAAATAAATATTACTAATGATATAAAACTTTGAAATAGCAATAACCTATACAAATTTTCTAAGGGAAGAATATTCAGGTATTGAAGCCAATTTTTAATGTAAACCTATATGATTAATGTATTTCAATATATTATTACTTATGTTACTTATGTAATACTATATTTGATGTGAAAAACTTGGGTACACTTACAAATATTGCATGATCTTGTGTATACGTATCATAGTAACATAGTCAAAAATTTCGATTTTTATCACATTACACCAAAATAAAAACCTATTTAATTGCAGTATATAAAATTTGTAATTACTAAATACATTTAATTTAATTAACTAATTTTAAAATATCTTCCTTTAATTTTGACTCATTATATTATAATAATTTTATCAGGATACATTTTCAAAAACGAATGTGAATTCAATCAATATAAGTTACTAATAATAATTTAATTACAAATTCAACTTACAATATTTCAAGGTGATTAACATACTAGCTTATTCGATAATTAAATACAAAATATATTTTCGTCTTATGCAAATGAATCTGAAGTCTCCTTTTACTATTGATTATTACTAGAATGATGACTTATATTACTAAGATATTCATATTATACTCTCTTGGAAATCAAACTGATGAATTATTTAACCAAATCAATTTTTTAATATTATTTTTTATCACTTCTTCAAGGTACTGAATATTGCATTTTTCAAATTAATCTTATCTACATCTAAATCTATTAATTTTAAATTTAAGCATTATTTATTTTTTTATTTGTATATTTTTTATATAAAAAGACAATCACAAGTATATTTTGAATATAACCTATATACTTGTAATAACAAGTTTATTATTAAGTTTTTTTGTTAAATAATTAACCAATAAAAAAAACAAAAGTTCATAAAAATTCTATCAATAAAAAAAAATAGTAAATTTAATTATACACAGTAATTTATCAAATTGCATTTAAAATCATTCTTCATAATAGATTAAAACACGAATCTTAATCAATAAAAGTATATTAAAATAATATTACAGATTAATGGTTTCAAATTAGTTTTAAAAAATGCTCATTGCAAATATGATCTTATAAAATTACCATGAGTTCATCTTGACTGATGAAGATTAATTAAAAATAACTTTTATGATAAATCATTGAAAATAATAAGCAATTTTTTTATTGCAAGATTACACATTAATAATGCAGCATATATGTAGATAAATAAATTTATCTGACAATTGAAAAATATAAATGTTATCCAACTAGTCTTAACACAGTTGTTTATTTATTTAAGTTATATTACAGTATACCTGAGTGAAAAAATAAATGAAAAAATGTATATATATAAAACCAAAAAAAAAAAATGATTCGTACTCATTCGTGGAAAACACGCGTTGTTACATTTCTCTGGTGTTGGATTATTTGTATAGAGAAAAAGCAATAATAATAGTAACTCGAATGTAAAACATTTACAGTTATGGATCTCGCTTTGACTTTTGTGTTCTAGGAGTACATTATTCAATGTTTGTAAATATTCCTTCGACAACAAATGAATGTATATTTTTCTTAAAGTATATTCATTTTACCGATGTTGAAAATATAAGGTAGCCAAATTTGTTTACCATTATCTCATACTATAGATCCTTAGAAACACCGCAAATAACGGCGATTCCGATCATTTGAGATATAGTATTCACATCCGTTGAATTTTGATTTTTCGGTGAAACCTTTATTTGCTTGAACAAATTCCAAAAATAATCAAACATGTTTATGAATAAAACAAAGCTTACCGTGGGTGGATAATTTTAATATTTTACTATTGCGGCTGTGATGGTTCTAACTGTAATTATTTTAAATATTGTTTATATTATTATAATTGAATAAAAATGTACCAAAAAAAAAAAAAAATATGGGAGTCAAATAGAGAATCGACTGAATTTAATTACACAAATTAACAATACGAATGTACCTACTTAAAACTATTATTTTTTTTCTTTATTTAGTTACCAGTATAATAACCGTGTTTTAAAACGATGAATTTGGTGTATTTAAAAAGACCCATAGTTAAACTATTATATATATATATATTGATAAAATACGACCATAAAACAATGATTATTGCGGCACCAATACTGTGTTATTTTTTTTTTTTCAGAGAAATTCTATAACTCTTTTAACGATATAGTATTGAATTTTCATTCTCAAAAATGTACTTATGTTTATATATATATATATATGAAATAATTAATTTATATACCCAATTCTTGTACTCGTATAACATGTTATAGAACACATTCCTATCTTTCAATTAATTTTTAAATTTTAAATATAATATAATATTTGTTCTTTTATTATAATCATTGATCACTACACAATTTTTGTTTTTTTGCTTTACACACAAAACACTTTTTCTAAAAACTATATTCATAGACGAAAATTAAGTAAAAAAACGAAAATCAGTACAAGAAGCTATGAAACTATTATAATATAACTTTAAAAAAAATTGATAATATTTATTTATTAAGATCAAACTTAATTGATTTTGTCCTAAAATATTCCAAAAAAATCATTAATTCATAACCATTGGATCCTATGTCATAGATTTATACTAGTTGAAATAAAAAAAATGAACATGTAATAAATATTATTAATATTACTTAAAAGTTTCTATTCTCATGTAATCAGATACAATACTGATTAAACAGTGAATACAAATTAAACAAATGCCTAAAACGTTTTACACGAAGAGTATAATTATGTTAAACCATAAAAAAGTGTTTGGATTGGTATGATAATAATTTTCACTGTGGTTTTAATATTTATGTTTAATAGTATAACTTCGACTATTGTATGTGATGATATTATGTCGAGCACGAGCTTGATTCCATCACATTTATTTAAAAACTCATGATATAATGTTCATTTATTATGTTTAAAATTTGCTTCAAATTTGACAAGAAAATATATTATATTGTATAATGTTTGTATCATAAGAATAAAAATAAACTATTCGAACTTTATATTTTTCCGTTCGCTTTAATGTGGGTCCAAATACACAAAGAGGACATTAACGCTTGAGCCTCATAATTTTTTTTTTTTTGTTTTGTGCAAGATGAAGTACTTTCATATTGTCCTGAGCATATGAAAAAAAAATATTTTAACAAAATAGCTATAAAATATTCTAAGCAAATAAAATACTAAGTAGTTGAAATTTTATTTTTCAATTTTACTCAATTAAAGTTAAGTCCAATATACATGTATAACTTATTAAGGCTTATGATGTTAAGGAAAAACAAAATAACATTGAAAATAATATACATTTCTATATTTTATCGCTAGTATTTTGTACGAATTATATTCTAAATTAGAATTTTTTTTAAATTTATTAAATCTTTACAAATACTACTGATTGATATAGTAAAAATAATAATATCTGCTTTAAAAGCAGATAGCATAAATAATTTAGTGAAATTCTGTGTACATATAAACACATATTTGATACCTAAACATTTTTCAATACTTAAAATGAATATATTTATTACTATATTTCATTATAGGATTCAAGATTAAGAATTATAACGTTTAGATTTAGTTCATTACAAAATTCTAAATTACCAAAATCATGATGTACACACCTACTAGTTTTTAAGTTCACGTTATTATGTTTTTAAAACGACTCAATCACATTGATGCTGTTAAAAATTGTGTAAATTCATATTTTTAGTATATTATTATATTGTCTTCCATTTATTCCTATTTGAAAAAAAAATATTAATAGGATAATAATATGTTTTTACAAATTTTATTTAAACATAAGTGAAATGTGTTTGAATTTTCAACAAAAAAATGCATTTTAATCTAGGTAATTTAATTGAAAATAATTGTTATATCGGCAAAAATGTATTTATCTTAATATTAGATTTATAAATTAAATTATATTTACAGCTATGATTAATATACATTTATTATTCTCGCTATAGAGTTTATTATTGTTTACTTAGGATTAAAAGTTATCATTATTATTATTATTATTTTTATTATGATTATTATTATTATGATTCTTATATGATTATGTTTATTATGATTATTATTGAAAATAATAAAACAGTTATAACTATCGAATTTGTTTAATTATTTATACTTCGAGTAGAAAAACTTTTTCGTGTACAGACTAAAAATTAGTTAATTAGTAATTGAACGGTACTGTCCAAAATAGTTCAATGATAAAAATATAAAATAATAAAGGAAAACAGGAAAGATACAAAATTATTATATAAAACTTCTATCATAAAACTTGATACGAGTTTCGTGGTTTTTTTTAATTATAGTAAACAAAGAAAAAAGTTTACGAAAGAAAAAATAACATTAACACGATGCAAGTAATATTAACACGATTTAAATAATTGAACTAATTTTTTTTTTTTTAGAAATGGAATGTTATTATATTATCTTGAGTTAATAATAACAATAATATATGCCTAAGTTAAAATTAATATTGTTCCCTGTAAGCGAGGAAGAATGAAATGTTTTCATCAAACATATATAAGTATAATAACGCATGTCTATTAATATCCACAGTAAGAGTGAAATTGTATTATCATAATGTTTAACCAATTTTTGGAATGTGCTATTATCATGTTAAGTTGTATGTAA